CGGCGACGTGGATCTTCCTCCCCTGCCCCGCACCCGGAATCCAAGCCTCACCTCCTCGGCCATGGCGCGCTCGCGGTTCGGGAAGGCCACGCCCCGCAGCCGCATTGCGCATGCGCCGTCCCGGCGGCCGGGCGTGACTTCTGACGAGGGAAGGGCCCTGCAGGGTGGTAGCTCACGTGTGGGGGCTGCGCTGCCCCGGAGCCTCCTGCCACCCCCCCACTTCCACTCCCGGACTGGGGATTGGATGCAAGGACGCTCTACCACTGAGCTGTATCCCCAGCCCTTTATTTTTTTGAGACAGGGTTTTGCAGAACTTCCCAGGCTGGCCTCAAACTTGTGATTCTCCTGCTTCAGCCTCCTGAGCAGCTGGGATGACAGGCGTCCCCTCCTGCCAAGCTTTCCAGAGCAAAAACCCGGGCAACTGTCCGGTCCAGGGCTGGCGATGTGGCTCCAGGCCACAGTGTCTGCCTGGAAGTGCCGGGTCCTGTACTGATCGCCAGGGCGGGGAGAGCGGAGTGGTCATGCAGGAGAGGTGGCTCAGGCCTGTAACCCCAGCACTCCGGGAGGCTGAGGCAGGACGATCACGAGCTCAAACCCAGGCTGGGCAACTCAGCCATTTAGTGAGACCCTGTGTCAAAATAAAAAGTTAAAAAAAAAAAGGGCTAGGAGTATAGCTCGGTGCAGAGACCCGGGATACAATCTGAATATTGCAAAACAAAACAAAACAAAACCGGGGTCACTTCTAGCCTTTAGATTTGAATGGAGCTCTGTTAAACGTGGAGAAGGTGTCCAGGCCCAGCTCACTCCACTTCACAGAAAAAGTGAGTAACTGACACACCCGGGGGGCTGGAACACCCCTGGCAGCTGAGCAGCAGCAGATTTGATGAGCACCCCGTCTCCCACCCTCTGTTCCAGACAGCATCTCGATATGCAGCCCACACTGGCCTTGAACCCACTGTGTACCCCAGGCTGGCCTCGAACACCCAAGGATCCTCCTGCCTCAGCCTCCTGAGTGCTTCAATCTCAGTTGAGCACTACTGTGCCAGCCTTTGTCCCTTCTGCCTAGGTGGCCTGCAGCCTGTGGGGAGCCCCTGGGCGGCTGCTGCAGGGGTGGGGACCCGGACAGCACAGAGGGGGAAAGAGGAAGTGGAATCAACCAAACTGTGCCGTGGTGTCGGTGGCCAGTTTCCAGCAGGGACCCAGGAAAGGTGGGAAGGGCTGAGGGGGCCGGGGCAGGCCAGGCTGAGTTCCAGAACCCCAGGGGGCCCGTGAGCGCACAATCCTGCCGTGACCTCACTGCCTGCCGCCCAGGGTTCTGGAACTTGGGCTGCCTGCTGGGCTGGACATGAAAGATGTAGTAGGGAAAGGGAGCGACAGCTGCCTGCAGGGGCCCCCGACCCTCGCCACACCCAGGAGAGCAGCCTCTCCCCGCTGGTTCCCGGGAGCCATGGAGACGGAGGGCACCGCGGCCTCCCGCTTCCCCCAGCCTCACATGGAGAGGAAAATGAGTGCCATGACCTGCGAGATCTTTAACGAGCTCCGGCTGGAAGGCAAGCTCTGCGACGTGGTCATCAAAGTCAACGGCTTTGAGTTCAACGCCCACAAGAACATCCTCTGCAGCTGCAGCTCCTACTTCAGGTGTGGCCCTGAGCTCGAGGAGGTGCGGGGCTGGGGCCTCTCCCTGCCTCCGGTCTGGGGGCTCAGCTGGCTTGGGGGGTGCTGGGGTTTCTTTGATTCCCACCCTGTTTCCAACTCAAACCCCAGCAAAGACCTAAGCCCTCAGGGGATGAGAGATCTGGGACATTCCAGGAAGACCAAGGGGAGCAGGCTCAGGTGCCGGGAGGTGACAGTGGGGAGTGGAAATGGGGGAGGTGGGCGGGGCCAGGCAGCCAGGGGCTCATGGCCCAGACCAGAGGGCTTTGTTTCTTCTTTGGCACTGGGGATTAAACCCAGAACCTTTGCAGTGAGCTGCATCCCCCAGCCCTTTTCTTTCCTTCTTTCTTTTTTTTTTTTTTTTTTTTGGTCCGGGAATCTAACTCACAACCTCACGCTTGCCAGCCAGGTGCCATGCTGATGAGCTATATCCCTGGCCCCCAGCCCATTTTTAATATTATTTTTGCTACAGCATCTCAGTAATTTGGCCAGGCTGTACTTGCTCTTTCGAGCCTCCCTGCCTCAGCCTCCTAGAACGCTGGGATTCGGGGCACACACCACCACACCGGATCATAGCCCACTTCCTCAGATCGATTTATTCCCAACGCACTCACCCTGCGCCCGTTGGAAAATGTCCAGAGTTGCCTGCAGGGAGAGAGGAGGGTCGGGGGCAAGGACCTGGCGGACAGTAAGAATCGCTCCCGGGCTGTCAGTTCCTCTGTCTTTTCCAGAGCTTTGTTTACGAGCGGCTGGAACAACACCGAGAAGAAGGTGTACAACATTCCCGGCATCTCCCCCGACATGATGAAGCTGATCATCGAGTACGCATACACGCGCACCGTACCCATCACGCCCGACAACGTGGAGAAGCTGCTGGCGGCTGCCGACCAGTTCAACATCATGGGCATCGTGCGGGGCTGCTGTGAGTTCCTCAAGTCCGAGCTGTGCCTGGACAACTGCATCGGCATCTGCAAGTTCACGGACTACTATTACTGCCCCGAGCTGCGGCAGAAGGCCTACATGTTCATCCTGCACAACTTCGAGGAGATGGTGAAGGTCTCGGCCGAGTTCCTGGAGCTGTCGGTCACTGAGCTCAAGGACATCATAGAAAAGGACGAGCTCAACGTCAAGCAGGAGGATGCTGTGTTTGAGGCCATCTTAAAGTGGATTTCCCATGACCCCCAGAACAGGAAGCAGCACATCTCGGTTTTACTTCCTAAGGTCAAGCTCAGTTATTCTTTGTGAATGCTCAGTGGCTATTTAATCTGCAGCCAGGGGCTCGCTAAGTCACTTAACTGCCCAGGCCGGGCTCAAACTTTCCATCTTCCTGCCTCAGCCTCCCAGAACGCTGGGATGACAGTAATTGCTCACTCTTGATTCACTTACCCCTGAGGGGCAGTCCCTAAGAGACACACTCAGGTGTGTGACAGTCCCAGGGCTGTACTTAAATGCACTGATGTTAGAAGCCATCTCTCCTCTGGAATTTTGCAATTTCCTCTCCCCCGGCATTGCAAGTTCCTTCTATCCGGGTTACGTTCCTTAGCCAAAGTCCTCCCTGGTACAGGGGGCTTGTTTCACTCTTGCCCATTCAATGAGTTCTATGGGGCTAGATGCCAAATCATGAGTATCTGCACCACTGCAGCCACGCGCTGCCCACTCATGTTACTTTATATAGATATACACTCCGTTTCTGAGCAATTCCCACGGCTGCTGCTGGTCTTCATAGTCTTGGATGGACTGGGTGGCTCTGTGACCCGGCCAGGTGCCTTTGTCTAGCTCATTCTTTTTCTCTCTCTCTCTCTTTGAGACAGGGTCTCGCTATGCAGTTCAGGGTGGCCTTGACCTCACTTTGTAGCCCAGGCTGGTCTCGAACTCACAAGGATCCTCCTGCCTCAGCCTCCTGAGTGCTGGGATTACAGGCGTGCACCATCATGCCCAGCCCCTCTCTAACTCATTCTCAGCATCCCCAATCTATTTTTTGCAGCAAATCCAGGGCCGCCTCACTGAGCTACCTCTCCAGCCTTTTTTTATTTTGGGGGGAACAGAGTCTCGCTAAGTCACTATACTGCCCAAGTTGGGCTCCGACTTGCGATCCTCCTGCCTCAGCCTCCTGTAGTGCTGGGTGCTGCGGTGACAGGGGTGCACCCCAGGCCTGGACCGAGCCAAATATTCCATGTGTTATACCTTTAAAAAGCACCCCCGCGTGTCCGCAGCGACCCGCAGCCAGCCACAGGAGGGGTGCAGGGCCCAGCCGGGTGTGCTGCAGCCCCGCCTCACCCAGATGCCCGTCTGTGCCCCCAGGTGCGCCTGGCGCTCATGCACGCCGAGTACTTCATGAACAACGTGAAGATGAACGACTACGTCAAGGACAGCGAGGAGTGCAAGCCTGTGATCATCAACGCGCTCAAGGCCATGTACGACCTCAACATGAACGGGCCGTCCAACTCCGACTTCACCAACCCGCTGACGCGGCCGCGCCTGCCCTACGCCATCCTCTTTGCCATCGGCGGCTGGAGCGGCGGCAGCCCGACCAACGCCATCGAGGCGTACGACGCGCGCGCCGACCGCTGGGTGAACGTGACCTGCGAGGAGGAGAGCCCGCGCGCCTACCACGGCGCCGCCTACCTCAAGGGCTACGTCTACATCATCGGCGGCTTCGACAGCGTGGACTACTTCAACAGCGTCAAGCGCTTCGACCCGGTGCGCAAGACCTGGCACCAGGTGGCGCCCATGCACTCGCGCCGCTGCTACGTGAGCGTCACGGTGCTCAGCAACTTCATCTACGCCATGGGCGGCTTCGACGGCTACGTGCGCCTCAACACGGCCGAGCGCTACGAGCCCGAGACCAACCAGTGGACGCTCATCGCGCCCATGCACGAGCAGCGCAGCGACGCGAGCGCCACCACGCTCTATGGCAAGGTGCGGGTGCGGGCGCGGGCGGAGCCGCCTGTGCGCCTGCGCACCTGGCCCTGCACCTGCGGAGCGCAGCGCCCGGCGCCCGTGCCGCCAGGCCATGGCGCATGCGCACTCGCGCACAGCCCTGGACGTTGCTGAGGTCCCTGGCCTGGAGCCAGTGCGCATGTGCAACGCGTCTGAGCGCCTTCTCATGCCTTCCCTCCCCTCGCTCCATCGCAGTCCCCTTCCTCTTTGACGAAGATCTGCCTCTGCACTCCATTCTCTCTTTGTTGGTCTTTTTGAGACAGGGTCTCACTATGCAGTTCAGGTGGCCTTGAGCTCACTATGTAGCCCAGGCTGGTCTCGAACTCTTGATCCTCCTGCTTCAGCTTCCCAAGTGCTGGGATTACAGGAGTGCACCACACCTAGTTGTTTTTGTTTTTGTTTTTGTTTTTTTGGACAGGGCCTCTCTGTGCAGTTCAGGCTGGCTTCATTTTATTTTGCTCTTTATATTTCGGGTTTCTCGTCTAAGAGAAACCATGTGACACTTAAGCTGAGTGTCTCACTTATTTCACTGAACATTATGGTCTCAAGGTGCATCCAGTTCCCTACGGACGACTCAGTTCCACTGTGTGTAAACAATTTTCCTTATCCATTTGTCTTGATGGACAGAACTGCTTCCCAGATTCAGCTGTCACAGGGTGTGCTGCTAACACCGTCATATGATGGCGTTAACGCCTTTGGCAAGCTACCTACCTAGAAAGGGAACAGCTGGGTCGGATGGAATTCCTAGTTTTTTCTGAGGCGTCACCATACTGATTTCCACAGTGGTTGTGGGGATTTACATCCCCTGTAAGGAGACGGGCCCCTGTTTCCCCCACCCCGCAGCCTCACCAGCGCATGCTGTCTGATTTCTTGGTGACAGCCATTCTCCCTGGCGTGGATGAAGCCTCAGGGTTTCCATGTGCATTTCTCTAATGGCCGGAGGCCTTGAGGCTCCCATGCACTTCACGTCACAAGGCTTTCTCAGGGCTGAGCTGAACCCGGACCTCATGCTCGTTAGGCAAGCAAGCGCTCTACCACTGAGGGGGGCATCCTCTAGACCTTTCTATTTTGGGGGACAGGGTCAAGCTAAGTTGCGCAGGCTGGATTTGAACCTGCCATCCTCCTGCCTCAGCCTCCCAAGTAATAGAAATATAGCTGTGCACCACACCTGGCTCTCTTCTGTATTTCAAATTCTCTCCGGATCACTCACGATATTGAATAGCACATAAACACCATGTAAACAGTTGTTCCGCTGGATTATTTGGGGAATAAGTGTGCATTTTTAGTACAGACACAATCCCCTCCCCCCCGCAGCCCGTGGTTGGCAGATCCTGACGTGGAAGCTAGGGGAAGGATGCTGGCTGCCCGTGTGCAGCTCTTCCTCAGTGACTGCCTAGCTCGATTGTCCATAACCGCTCTTACAAAGCGATGCGGACGCCTAAGGAAGTAACCCCAGGAGACTGGCGCTGACGCCCGCGGGCCGGCACGCACGGCCCCCACCGGCCGGGCGCTCAGCAGCCACGTGTCTGTCGCAGGTGTACATCTGCGGCGGCTTCAACGGGAACGAGTGCCTGTTCACAGCCGAGGTGTACAGCAGCGAGAGCAACCAGTGGACGGTGATCGCGCCCATGCGCAGCCGGCGCAGCGGCATCGGCGTCATCGCCTACGGGGAGCACGTGTACGCGGTGAGTCGGGGCCCCGAGGGCCCGC